GTTGAAGGCCAGAAAAAAAACCTGTGCAGAAAGAGTCAGAGGCTGATTAAGATTCTTCATCTGGGAACCATTTACATGTTTGTTCAGACTTGAGAGCAGTGGTGGACATCTCTAACCAACCATCTGACAGACAGACGTTGGCTCGGAGCCTTTATGCTCCACTGGAAAAATGAACCACAATATATGTGTCCAGAAGGAGGAAGAAACCCATGGGAACGTTTGTTTGATGTCTAACATTCATTTACTCGTTCTGGAGAAACGGTGGAAGCGCACGATAAACAAAACAAAAACTTTTTATACACACCTACAGATTGAAGTAAATACAAAACCATTCAGTTGAAATCACCCTTTAAGGATCGGTGCAGTTTTGAGGTTTACAAAATTCAGTCTCCTCCCCCGTTAAATGTCTTTTCTAAAACAGTTTTTGAATCTGATTCTTGATTTATTTTTAAAACCCAAAGCTAATTCTGAGAGTCGATGTTAGTGTCATGTGTTTCTGTTGGTAAACACTGGGACACAGGACATGCTGAGCTGGTCCTGACCAGACAGAGATGACGAGAGACGGAGGACGTAACCACTACTCCTGAAAACCAAACAAGCCTTCATACCAAACACACACACACACACACACACACATCTCAACACTAGAGCCATGATGACTACAGAACTGTTCAGCGACGCATGAACGTTTGATATTTTCACCACGTGCTAAGTGTATAAAGAACACAGCAGTTAGAAGGAATGTGACAATCTACACTGGCACCTTAACCACGGGAAACAAAGGAGGAATCTCACTGGTTGTCATGTTGTTATTCATACGACAGACTTTTATAATGTGTAAAGCAGAAGCATTTCATTTATACTTGAATTCAAAGTCAAACTGTCACCAAATGATAACATGCATAAGAGCCTAAAGTGTTTTCTTTTTGTTTTTGTTGTTAAGGCACAAGTGTCAGAAGACTGAATGGTACGTGACAGTTCATGGAAAAACTCCTGTTTTCTACACTGACGACTAAAGATGAATTGACTGATTGAAAAACAAACCATTACATTAAGCAGATGATGAATCGACCCAGTGTTACGGCCCTCTCTCTCAGACTGTCTAGCTTTTGCATGCAGTGTTTTAAATTCATTAAAGAAATTTTAAAAAGTGTTATGTGTGAAGTGGTTTGTTGGCAACTGGAGATATTTACTGTTCACAAAGTACTACAGTTGATTTGCTTTTTTTTTTAGAAAAAAACCCCAAAACAGCTTGGAATATTGAACAAGGAGCTCCTTGTTGAACGTATCAGAATACGTTTTTCAACTTCTTGCCACATACATGACTTTGAACATTACTTTTGAATGGCTAATAATTTTGATTTCGTGGTCCAGATGGACAATAACAGCAATAAACAAAAGTTAAATCAATATTTCATGTTTTCTTTAATAAAAGCTTTTCAAATAATCATGGAAATAATTAAAACTTTTTTTCCCCTCCCCAAAACAACGTAGCATCAAAGAAAATAGCTCAGCATCAGGATCTACCTGACGTGAATAACGACCTCCGATCAATGTGAGTAAATTCAGGCAGTTCAGATCCCAGTAGACATGAATTAGATTGACAACAAAGATGTTATCTTCATTTGGAATTATTTCTTTTTACATCATCACCCGTCTCAAAAATAAAATGTTTGAAAATCAGTGGTTTTGAATTAGTAAATTATTTTAAAAAAATTAATTTTAGTCTTTTTTTTATTTAATTGTGCTAATATTTACATCAAAGTTACTGGCATGAATTAGAAACTGGTCAAACAGTGAATTTTAACTTAAATAGTTCCTTTACATTAGAGCCCAATAAGCCCACATTTCTAATTTGACAAATACGTTCCTGTATCATGTAGTTCACCCAGTCAGATTACAGTCTCATAGTAATCTCTTAACTTTATCAAAGACTACCCAGTGCCTTCATGTTGCCAGGCAACAGAAAAAAAATAATCTAAAAATAACCGAAGGAAATGGCAAAAGAAGCTATACATTAGACAACATGAGATCTGAGGCTGTGAACTCAGAATCCAGCCCTAACAGTTCCCTGCAGTTCGCTTTGGATTCAGCAACGAGATTTCACATTTCAAAGACGATGGGCTTCAAATCTGCTTTCAGAAAGTTCTAACCTAAGGAGGCTGACGTCACTCGGACTAATGTTTTACTACGACGTGTGGCAGGCGTAGGAACTCCTCCTCTGTTAAGGTGAACAGTGATTGGCAGTCAAACAGGCTGAAAATGAAAAGACTGGGTGAGTCCAGTGGTGAGCGTCCTTTAGCTCCACAGCCTTTACCCTTACAGTGGCAATGACAGGACAAAGAAGACAAACATTCATTTCTGTTTCATAGTGTTTCTCACTTCTCTACTGAGGCACTTTTGGTGTCAGAGACATCACACAGAGCAGTGTCTCCTCCTTTATTGCAATCTTGATTAAAGACCTCACCTGCGTTTTTTTTTTAATTTTTAATTACTGTCTACCTTTTTGTTCTTGTCCTCATTTTCACACATCAGCAACACCTCCTCCTCCTCCTCCTCCCCGTCCTCCTCCCCGTCCTCCTCCTGCTGATCCAGTGTCAGCTGAGAACAGTCTTACGCCCGGCTGACGTTGGGGGACGGCTTGCCTTCGTAGCCATACAGGAACGTCGCACTGATGACCAGAACGGCCCCCAGGAAGAAAACACTGCAAAGAGAGCGGACAGCTCTGTCAGTGTGAGAAAAACACACAAACGTTAGTCAACTACAGAACAGACAGGCAGAGTGACGGCTTCTTCTACCCAGTGGGATCAAAGTCCTGCAGCCACAAGTACGATATGATCGTTGACAGGATGATGGACAGCGACGTAGCGAAGCCCTTGAGGATGTTGTCTGCATATTTGATGACCGCTGCTATGACCAGACCGCCCAGAGCCTGGAGAAACAACAAACACAGAGACGCAGATGGACAAAGGCATGACCTGCACAGTCTGTCTGCTCCTCAGACCAGCTCCATCAGTACTGTACACAGGTGCTGCTGTGGTCGCAGCTCTCATATACATATGTAAAAGAAAGAAAACTGAAAGAAGAAAATTAAATTATTAAATTTATTATTATTAATATTAATTATTAAAATTACAGAAGAAAACAAAGAAGAACTAGCTAACTAAGCACCAACTTTAATGCAGTGTCTTTCAACCTTGGGGTCGTGACCCAATATGTGGTCGCCTGTCATTCAAATGTGGACACCTGAAAGGTGTAGTAGTTTTGTTTGTTGGTTTTCTTTAGTGTTTAAAACCACCACACAAAATCATAAACAACTGTAATATTTCACTTTCATGAGTTCAAAGAAAACAGCTGATTGATTGACAGCTGAGGTCATGTGACTGCACGTGACAGCTACTTCATCAGGAAACATTAAAAGTGTGTACTCTGTATTTACAAGACAATATAACAAACAACAAAAACTAGAATCTCTGTCAATGTATGGCGTCAAGATGGCGTCACAGGTCAAAAAAAGTTGGGAACCACTACTTCAATGTCACTTCTCAGAGAGGTAAACACATTTGTTCAGGAAAAAAGACAGAGGGAGGATTTGACATTTGACCTTTGGCTTTGACATACCTGCAGTGCAACGACAGTCCAGGTGACTGTGTTATATCCCTGGAACATTCCATACTCCTTCACTCTGTCTCCATCGTACAGCAGCATTCCAATGAAACCGAATATCAGACCAAACAACCCTAGAGAAAAAAGAAAAATGTTCATTCCTTTGATTCCAATCTGATCAACTGATGTTCCACTTCATGGTTCTGCTGGGAATAATTACGTTCTCTCTTCATTTAAAATGCTTCAGTACGGATGTGTATCCTAATAGTTTTGAAATGTGTCAAGGTCAACCACGGTAATGCAGAGTGGAACTAATCCAACATTCCCCGGAGTCATTCAATCACTTCCAGCAATTTGACTTAACACCTAGCGGTTAGCATAAACAAGTAATGGGTGGTAGTGATGTCACAAGGTGTGGTGTTTGAGCCCACTATGGTCACCTGGTAAACCAGACTGACTCTTCTCTCACCTTAGTCTCATTAAATATATGAATCTAATCCTAATATTCTATCATTATAATGACATTGTCACTGAAACAAAGTGCTTAAATAATTCACTGTGATATCATTTCTCTCAGAGTAATTAACTTGTGAAATTGCATTGCAGCTAAATTGATGATTAAATTCACAATTGACTGAGTCAATGCTAAATTCTAACTTGCTTTATTTTGTTTTTGTTACTTTTCCTCTAATGAATAAAAAGGAGTAGTTACTCCATTGGTCTCCTATTGGCTCCAGAAAAAAGAAAAAAAACTTGGATGCAGAATCACAGGAGACCCCACGGTCACCTCACACGCACCAGGACAAAAATAAAACAGACAGGAACATTCATCTTAACAAATATGTAGCGCAGCTAAAAAGCCCAGCTGGCTTTTTCTGCAAAGACAAGGGGAACAGGAAGAGCTTACTACAAAGGAAGTGAGGTTGTCCTGAATCAATTAGCAGGCAAACGAACTGATGGGTTACTGCTCACCAAGCTGAATGTTTCGGACCCACACACTCTGCTTGCTTTCCTTCAGGATCTTCTCAAAGTAGACGCCCGCGAAGCCGCTGGAGCAGCAAGCCACCAGGACCGCTATCAAACCGGCAAACTGGGAGCCTGCAGACACGGCCTCCTTCTCTGGTTCTACAGCGGTGTCTGAGGGCCACTGCGGGGGAACAAGAGAAACACAGGCTCAATAATTTTATAACAGAAATTTAGCATTGGCTTTATGTTTTTTTTATAAGTCGATTAAAAATTTAAATCAGATAAATCTTTATAAATTAATTAGGCGGAATCCCTGGAGAACTGGACTGAACGGGGCAAACCGGTTATCAAACATGCGTGCAGTACCACACCTTCTACAACAGTGTGGCCTACTAACACTTAACTACGATAATGATAGCAATAAAAATAGCAATGAGATAATTCTGCCTCTGCAACTGTATTAACAATAACACTCACATTCTTTCTATACAATGCTAAGAAGATATTTGTGCTAAAGCACGTTAATGTTCCAGCAGATCTGCAAAGATCTGGCATGTGTGACCAGCCATGTGGTGCGGCAATAAACAAAACCAATGGATTTAAAATAAATAAATAAATAAACCCCTTCTGAAACTTCAGTACAGAGTAAAACAACAGAAAATCAAATGTGTTTTACCATAACATCCATGTTCTACCTTCAAGATCACTGCACTGCTGACTGACTCAAAGACAATGTCCTCAATTTCAAAGTCACTCAAAGGTGAGAATAAACATCAAACCTCAGATGTGAGCAGTGACAATCAAAACGCTGCACTGATTAAAATTATAATTCATATAAAACAGTTACACATTTCCTTACTTTTCTACTCTTATTTGCTGTAGTTTAAGTTCAACCCCCAACGTTCCAGTTTACCCTGGTATTACGTCAGCAAATCTGAAGTAGAGATTTCAGATTAGAGGCCCTGTGAATGAACCAGTCACATTCCTGTGTGTGTAACTTCACCCTCAGTGGAACCTGCCCGCCTGGTTTCACTGAATAATGTCTGATTCTGGCTATCTTATCCAGTTTCACCAGTGTTGCTCAAACATTATGACAACAACAACAAGGATGATCTTTTTGATTTTAGAAAGTCAAAACCCAAAGTCAGTTAGTTGTTGTTGACAAGGAACATGTGCTCATGTCCATCATGATCTTTTATCAGATATCAACTAAAGCTGAGGTTCCTTGGTTCATGTGAGAATCCCTAGATAAAATAAACCTATACTTTGGCTCCAGGGTGAATGTTCTGTTTTAATTTTATCACAATACATTAGAATATAAGGGTTTTTTCACCCAAATTTCCACCAATCCACCACAGTATTAATACATCGAGCTGTTTAGCCCTAAATAAACGGACCAAGTTAAGCTACGAGTTTCTCACTTACTGTTATGAAGCTATTTAGTGATTTTTTTCTTCCATTGCTAATTCTTCCTTTCATGTTGTAGTCATGTTTGACTGTAAACCAAGGTCATTGTTGTATTTACATTGACTTCTGCCTACATTATTGACAATTATTCATTATTTGTTGAAAATTATTTTTAATCTATTTTTATTTGGAATTAAAATTCAGTATGATTTTTACTTCCTGACTTTGTATCACTCAACAGAACCTAATTGCAAAGCAAATAATTCATAAATAGCATTACATCCTGTTCAAGCAGTTCTCAACACAATGGGCTGTTGTTCAAAAGGACTTGAGTCAAATGTGTATGCAGCCAAAAAACGATGTCTGCTGGCAGTTAGACCACAGTCTGAGTGGTGGAACATCAGTACAAACCTAGAGTATGTCTTTGTGTCTGTTGCCCTAAGATGACCATTCAAAAATAATTCTACTGAGTCATGGTTTTGTTGTAGCATTTTAGCTCATACAAAATCCTGTTAGTGAGTGACTTGAACCTGCACCAGACCTGAACAAGAGTCACTCCAGCCATGAGAATGAGCAGAGACAGCCACTGGTAGACGCCCAGCCTGCGTCCCAGCATGGACACAGAAAAAAGAGCCGTGGTCAGGATCTTCAACTGGTAAGTCACCTGTTGGGGGCAGTGCAGGAAGAACATTTAATATGACACACATCAAAACACTGATTCTGTTTCCTGCCATGTTCCTTCCCAACCCGATTGCCTGCTCTACCTGGTAAGTGGCTGCATCCAGGTTGGACAGGGCGACGTACAACAGGTTGTTCTGCAGGGTGTAGATCCCAGAGGGGATCGCCAGCTTCAGTGTGTCTATGGGTTTCTGGACAATTTCCTGACGCAAGATGCTGTTCAGTGCTCGCATACTGTAGTCTGTCAAACAAAACAAAACCGGTTCAGTCAATAACACAGAGATCAAAGTTTGTTTTTTTTTTTCTTCCTGAAACTTCTGTCACCACATACTTTAAAAACATTCAGAAGGCTCAGAAGGCTGACAACAGCTCGATCATGAAAATAAAATAGGAAATTATCTAGATTCAAGTCACAAAAAGCTGTTCACATTAATATCTTAATGACATTTTTGACCTAGTAAATGGTAAAATATAAACAAATTATTATTTCTGTACAGTTGTTACACATCCTAAATGGAATAAAAACTAATATACGTGTTATTGGCTAAAACCTTTTAATGACAGGCACAAACACTTGATACTTGATGTCAAAACATCAGCTTTGTAAAACATTTGAACATGTATTCCATGTGACACATATTTATTAAATTAATTCATAAAGTTTTTTATTTTTAAAATGTTAGTGATGGGTTAAAAACAGATGTCACATTTGGTTGTGTGCAGTGGTGTGCTGTGTCACAATGACAAGTAGTTAAAAAAAAAATTGTATAATGTCACGTGGCTCTCATTCATTGTTACTTACATGTGATGTAAGAGAATATTTACATGGATAATGTGCAGCATTTTTGTATGACCTGGATGACTGAGAATCTGCATAGATATGTTTGTGTACTTTTTTTTTAAAAATAATCGAACTGTTGAATAATGTGAACAGTACAGGAAAATATCTCACTGTAATACTTGACGGTCATATTTTGTGAAAATGGAAGACTGTATCTGCGTGTGTACTTTCTATAATATTTAATCATCTCTTGGCAAAGAATGTAAAATGAAAAGAAATGACCTACAGTCAGGTGGATGTACAGGATACGTGTACTGTTAGGGAAGAATGAGCAGTTCTTGTAGGACACTAGTGTATTATTGACACTGGTTTTTCTACATCCTGGTGTTCTCCGTGTGTGTGGGTGTGAATGTGTTTGCTTGGGTTCCTCAGATTAAACAACTCTGTTCTTTACAGAACAGGAAGACACACACAGGAAACAAATGATACTTGGAAAAAAAACTCAATAAAAAGGAGGAAAACGTATATATAGATATACATGTATACGTGTATATATACAGTATGTATAAGTGTGTGTATATATATATATATGTGTGTGTATTTATATTTTATTTATGGTCTGTTTTGTCATTGTACCACAGGGATACAACGAGATCCTGAGCCTCTGCTTTTAACCCAGCTTTTTAAGCACCTGGGGAGCACATGTGTGTATATATATATATATATTTCAACTGTACTTACTGTGTTCCTTGAAGACGAGCAGCACACAGGCTAAGATCTTCAGGGCCTCAGCTGCTACCACTGCTGATGACGCCAGATACCGTGGGCCATCAGTCTTTAGTGTGCGGGAATACCTCATAGTGAGCACCAGTGAAGTGGTCTGCAACACTAGCACACCCAGAGACAGGTACTTCAGAGGGGGAAAGGCCATGGTCACTAGTTGGTAAAGAGCTGAAAAGAAAAGATAATAGTGTAAGTATTTCAGAATATTATGATCTTCATTATCTTACATGAACAGGAGAAGAGCAGGTAAAGCGAAGAAGTTAACAGCTTTCTGTTGTTGAGCTTAACGCAGCTGTACTTTCTTCTTGTATCAGTCAAACACAATGAATGCCTTTGACTGTAGTGAAAACAACAGTCCATACACCCCAAATGCTGTTAAATACACTGAGAGGCGACAGACTTTGTATGAACTCATTTAAAAAATATTTACATTTAAGGTAGCTATATTGACACTAGAGGTTACAAAAGTAAAATTTTTTTTTTTTTAAAAAGAAAAGATTTTAACAGCCATCTCATCATGTCACGTTCAAGGGCCTGTAATTAAATGTATGCATGTTACACATTGGCATTTCGAGTTGGCTGTAGTTGAAATATTATACTCCATTATCTGTTCTTATCTGACTTCAGAGCTGCTTCATATCTGTCTTGTAAGTTGTAAAGACAGAGAAATAAAAGTTCTTGTATTTATTGTATATATCATATCAACCCCACCTTTCACACACGGGCGAAAATAATGTCGCAATCTCCTGCCATATCGCTTATTAACGAAATAACATTGTGTGTTATCCCGCTCATGACACAACAGAAAGTTAAGGAGCTCTTACCTTCACTTCCTTCTTCTTCTCTTTGACGGAATGCTTCAGAGCAGATTGACAGATGCAAAGAAATGTCAATGTCAAACCTCTATGGTTTAAAGTCGAGATCTGTTCGTTTTAACTGATTCCCTCTGCCTCTGTCTCAGTCCAGGTACAGATGACTACACACAGCTGTCAAAACAGCTGCTCTTTAGCCCTTAGTCTCCATTGACCCCTCACTTACTAACCGACTGTAGTGTGACTGTGACCCACAGTGCGTTAGTACCAGCTCCTCATCAGCTCAGCAGACTCACGCAGTTTTTAACAGCAACCGCCGCCGCCATTACGGCTTCAGTGACTTTGCTGTAGGAGGAGAAAGTCTAATTAAAAACAGACACAAATTAAGGCGACAGAGGCGACAGCAGGATGGAGCTCAGCCTGAGACGCTTACAGCTCTGAATCACTTCCGTGTATACACATCTTCTTCTTAGCTTTTTCATAGAACCTCCTGTCAGAGCTGATGCTCCTACTGGTCAGGAAGTGGATTGCATTAGCCTAATGTAGTCCAATTCAGATGGATGAATAGAATTTACTTTAATAGAGGGAAAAAAAAAACACGAGATTAAAACATGAGATTGATCATTTGATTACAGAACTGCTGTATCTCCGGAAAGCCAAAGAGTGCAAAGCCCCAAATAAATAGATTGGTTTTATTGGAGATAGATGGAGTATGAGTATTTTAATTGTAAATAACCATATTGTTAGCCTCCTAAATATTTTTATAGTGTTAAGAAAGCTGGCGTAGAAATACCTGAAGATGTATAAAAGCACTGATTGTTAATTGTCATCAACTCCATACACAGTATTAGTAGACAGAAAAGTCCAAAACCTATAAAGATCTGAGCTTTATTTCAGTAAGCACATTTTTGGTTGATCATTGTTTTAAACAGACAACTTTGTTTCTACCTTATACAAACGTGGTAACAACTACTTCATATGGCATGTATATCGTTGGCTATTTGGTTAACAGAGAAAAGAACAATAAAAAAACAAGAAACGATGTGTATATACAGAAAAGACACTTATCCTGATAAACGTAAGACAACTGTGAAACTCAACTCTTGAAAAATGCTGACTGACATTTTAATGTTCAGCATATTCTACAAAGAATAAAGCTAGGCACCGGGAACATTGTCAAAGATTCCATCTTTTTACCTTATAAAGACCATGAAGAATCGATGAAAACAAAGGCATTTCACCAGTTTAACAATTGCTAAATGGAATTTGAATTCAAGAGACTCTTCCTCTCTGAGAAAAATGAACAAAATAATGATTGTCTGTTCATTAAGAGCAGATGCACAACACCGGGGTCAACGTTGTCTTTTGTTAGGGTGATTAAAAACCTATTTGATTCTAGACCTGGTTGGAATTAACCCTAAGTATTCAAAAGTGCACTGATTGTAGTAAAGCAAAAATCAGAACAGTGAGTGATTTGAGAACAGAAAGGATTAATCAAAGAGGAAGTTTAAAGGTAAAAACATCCACCTCTCTGTAACATTCAGAATCACTGAAGTGCCAACAGTATTTATATATATAAAAAAGTCTATGTACAACAAACATTATGTGGCACAAGTAAAATTGAGTGTGACAGAAATAAAGTACATCTTTAAACATTGTGTTTCTAAAAAAAAATTTGGTTTTCAAATCACATCTCAGCTGTATCAGAAACTGTGTTCAAACTGTGGTAAATAAAATGACACTTGTACATCTGTCATTTTTCTACTCATTACCATCAGGACAAAAACGAGTAAATTCACAAAATGTATGACAACTTACATTTAATATATGAACATGGCGCTTACCTGAATCTTGGTAAGTTTTAAAAGATATATGATTTTTGCTTCTCAACACCAAAAATGATTGAAGGTCCTCAGATGCCTTGCAATTTTGAGTTTGGTAACATAACATAACTCTGTTTCACAACGTATATAAATGTTTGTACCTAAAACTGCCCTTTGACATAGTAACAAAAAACACTTTATATACATTTTTTCATTTCTGCTTTCAGAATAAAAACATCAACCAACGGTGACCCATTCTATTTCAAAAGGTAGAGCAAATAGTTTAAACAAGAAGTTAGTAACGACAGGTTTATCACATTAAACATACAACATTTGAGCGCATAGCAGAAGAAACAATGTCCAATTATTAACACAGAAAGACCGCAACATCACTGGAACAGTCTAACATCAGCTGATCACCGTCTGGTCGGCCGGTTTGTCTGGCGACCTCTGTTCTGACATCACTCAATGGAAGCTTTGTGTTTTCTTACTGAACCGTCTAGAAAAACATATCCTGACGCAGGCAGCAGAAAGGGGAAGATACTCAGTCGGAATTCAGAGAACTATTGTAGCTCAGAAAGACAGAAAGCTAGCTAAATAATTTTGGTATCAAAAATGTTGAATATTTAGCTGATAATACTCAGTGATGTTTTAGAAACTATATACAATTTTAAGTGCAAAAAAAGAGAAGAAAATCAAATGAGAGGTGACTGATGATATTAATAAAAAAGAACATACACAGTAACCATAAAGGGAACAATAGCACTGAAAGACTGGCATGTGTTTATTTTAGACTACACAGAAACACCCGAGTCCTTCCACTTGGGCTTTCTTCAGAACACCTGCATGTTTCCCAGCTGAGGCTGTTGAGACGTCTGCTGCATCTGCTGCGACTGTGGCTGCGCCTGAGCCTGCGCCTGCTCTGGAATGTGTGTGTGGCGTGATGACGGCAATGCGTGGTGGGGATTTCCCAGAGGGGTGGGGCTGGTGGTTACATCTGACCAGTCTGAGTTGGAGTGCGGCGAAGAAGACGACCAGGGGTCGGGGGACTCTGGTGAGGGGGTCAGATATGGATGCTCGCTGGGTGGGTGGGCAGAATGACCTGGGGTGGTGCCCTCTGAGGCAGTGGTGGCGTAACTGTGCTGGGAGGGAGGTGTGGGGTATTTATCCACAGGGCTCTGCATGGGTGGATAGGAGGGGAGCGGTCGGGGCTGGCCTTCCATCCCTCCGTGGCTGACGCTGTGGGGGTGCTGCAGGCTGTGGGAGAGGCTGTGCGTCATGTTCATCTGCTCCGGCATCGGGTACATCATACCCTGGGTACAGTGAAGGCGAGACGGTGCCTGGTGTGGGTGACCCTGACTGTGGCTCTGCCCCTGGGACTGTGTGACCTGTACCTGCCCTTGCTGCGGCTGCTTCAGCATCGCCTGGCCTCCACCAGGAGCCATCATCTGGAAGGTGACTATGGGAGGCAACTGCTCTCTGCTCATGGTCACATTCATGGGGGTCATCAAGGGACCCTGACCATGGTGTTGGCCGATTCCTGGATGGGAAGCTGCCATCTGGTGTGGAACAAGACCAAACATGTGGCCGCTGTAGCCGTGTTTGGTCATTCCCACCCAACCCTGCTGCTGACCCAGCATGTGACTGACCGGGGGCAACATTGGTCTGGAAGTGGGGCTGCTGAGGAGCGGAGGAGAGTTAGCTGTGGTGGAGACGGCGCTGGACACGTCACCTGTGTATGAGTGAGGAGACTCCAAGGAGTCCACAGGAGACATGGTGACAGAGCTCTCTGGAAGTGCTCCCGCTGCTTTCACACCATTTGTGTTCCCTCCTCCTGTCCCTCCTCCACCATTTCCTCCTCCCACCGCAGCACTTACCCCTGCCCCCTCACCTCCAGCAGGCTTCTTTCTTCTCTTCGCCTTCATGTCTTTCAACTCCTTAGCTCCTCCTCCAATACCTGCCACCTTTGCACCACCTCCACCCCTCCTGCTCTTCTTCCCTTGCGGACCAGGACGCATGCTGATATACCCCGCTCCATTGCTACCACACATAACAGAGTTTCCTCCTCCGCCCATGTGGTTGGGCCCGTTGTGTGGACTGTGAACCAGATTGTACTGGTCCAATAGGCGAACTATATCGTGATGCATTCTTTCTTGAGCTGTGTCACGTGGCAGTCGATCCAAGTGATCAGTGATGTCACGGTTGGAGTAGTGGTCCAGGAGAACTTGGGCCGCCTTAAAGCTGCCCTCTCTGGCTGCCAGGAAGAGTGGAGTCTCCTCCTGAGGAACACACAGGGACAAAAATTGTTTTAGAAATATGACATGAACAGATGTCTAAGGATTACAGTCTGTTTGAAGTATTAAATAAGATATTGAACAAAAAAGACAGGTATTATTTTCTATGTAAAATACACTTATTCTTATTATTAGCTCTTGTAGAGACACATTTTTTCCAGGAACCCAAGGAAGGCCGTTCTAAAATTCTTAAGTAACCAAAGGCTTTCTCCAATCCTTCTGTATTTAATAAGACACTCATGATGTGTTGAGACACTTTTATCTCCTGGACTATTTTTACTGCTGTAGACTGAAGATGTTGACTGTTTAGGACTACAATCCTACAAAAATTTTAATACTGTCTAAATGTATTACGAATCATAGTTGCTCAGAATATATGCACATACTGTGCAATAAAGCATGTGTTTTTGCTCTCATTCCAATATTTTGGATATATTTTAAATGTAAATGTCACAGCACCTTTTCACAACTGCCTTAAACGTTTTCAAAATTAGGTGAAAGAATAGAGAACAGACCTTGTTGTCTTGCATGTCACGATTGGCTCCATTCTTTAAAAGTACAAGAGTGGCTTCCACATTATTAACTGCAGCAGCCCAGTGCAGAGCGGATTTGCCTTAAATGGACAACGGGAAAAGAAAAAGACAGAGAAACATGTTAAAGGCTAAAAAAATAGTAACAATTTCAATTTCAAATTTAAATCTATTAGTAACTACTGAGTTTTAGCAAACTTAAGAAAACAAAATGAATAGGATTTTCTCACCATGATCATCTACAGCATTAATGTCAGCATGGCAGTGGATTAGCTCTTCGACCATGCCTTCCACAGCCAGCCTGGCCGCCAGGATCAGGGGTGTTGTGCCATCATTCATCCGGGCATCCAGGTCTGTTGCACGATTACGTATCAAAATCTAGGAAAGACAACAAACGTTATGATTTACGTAAATGAGCCACAGAATTATTTATTGTCCGGTGAGTCGGTCTGTCATCTTACTTGGAAAACTCCCTGTGCATCAGCAGCCACAGCAGCGTGCAGAGGAGTTCTGCCCATGTTGTCATGGGCATTAGGATCAGCCCCAGCGTCCAGCAGTCTCTTAGCAGCGTCTGCTCTGGCGTAGCGGGCGGCCAGGTGGAGTGCAGTTTCACCGGTACGGTCAGTCTGGGCCATCAGCGAAGCCCCTTGAGTGATTAAGTCAGAAATAATGCTCGGCCCTGGTTCATCTCCTCCGCTCTCGTCTTCTTCATCTCCATGCACGCTGCAGTCTGGGCCACCACCGCTGCGCAGTGACGCCAGCATCAGCGGAGTGAATCCATCTGAAAAAGAGATAGATTTAATAATACAGATGTTGTTAAAAATTAGTGGTGCACGGTGACGTCGGTTGCCAAAACCTCATTGGATGATGTATTTCAAGACAGCCAATTGCCTGGCAAATTAGACATGGTTTCAACACCATGCCATCCATGTAGAAAGTACCTTTAGCTTAAAATTGCTCAAAGGAGCTAATAAAACATGTCTTTTCTTGTCTGGATGTTTTTACAGTGCTGAGTGGAGGATGACAACTTCAATTTTGGGAGAACAATAAATAATAACTTGAATAAACAAGTTCAAACAGAGTTATTACAAAACAACTGTAGCAACAGCAGCAGTAGCTAGCACAAAGGCTAACAAGAAATGAAGTTTGGATGTTTCCATTCAACAGGTACTGAATAGGTGATGGTAGAAAAAGCAATTAATAATAAAACAGGAATCATTTGAATCCACGTTACTTTTGTCTTGATGGCTTATGTTACTCCAGTACTGCTGCCAAACTTTAAGATGATTTATGGATGATGATTTTTTTTTGTCAATTTAGATCTACATCTCAGCGTTTTCTATCCTCAGGTTAACATAAACAAAAGATCCTCAGAAGATTATAATTCTTAAACATAAAACATGAAATTATCAGTGATCATATCGAACAAAATCCACATCATACACCCTTGTTTTGCATCATGCTCACCAGGTCCTTTGACATTCACGTCCAGGCAATCAGCCTCCAGGTCAGCTTGTGGGGGGGTGAGTGTTATGTCAGCAGCCTTGCGATGCTGCAGGGTCCACTCCCTTCTGTCAATACATCCATCCATTGGCATGGGCAGCAAAGGCTTTTCTTCCGTCTAGAGAACAGCATCATTATATTAACATAACTCACAACCTTGTACTGTACATTTTCTCTAGATTTCAAATTTCTATCTTTCTAATGTTCACAATTGACTTACTCTTGGTTTCTTAGCCGGTACCTCGTCCTCCAGCCACCTCTGACTATGACCTACATCAATGGATCCATCTTGGCTCTTGAAATTTCTGTTATGATGGGAATTAAATTGTAAAAATAAACAATGTTCATTACGCTTTCTTTACTCAGACCATATGATCAAGTCAAGGCTGCCCAATAAGTAGACCCTGATCTACCAGTAGAACACAAAGGGAGTACTGGTAGATGAGAAATTGAAATAAGATGGAATAGATAAAATCTCTCTGACTAAATGAGTAAAAGTATTAAATTATATTGTTCCTAGTGAGGTGCAATCATGACAGAATTGTCCAAAATTGTCAATTTGTCCACTTGACTGTTCTATAAATGTGTTTTGTGTATAATTTCAATATTTCTATGTGACTTTAAAAATCACTGAATTTATGCATGTCCTATTCAAACACACGGGAAAGCGTACATGGGGATCGTTGCCTCTCTTGAGAAGTCTGTGTGCCACACACAAGGAAGCAGGAAGTTGGCGCATACCCACTGCTGTCTCTCTTTATATATCGCCGAACATATTTTGATAACGTGTACTACGCATGCTGACATTCCACAGTCTGTCTAATATATTTATTAAATGTGTGTGACATATTTAGTGTTTTTGATCGCCCATTAATTAGGGTGAGGCAGAAAGCACTGTGCTGCACTGATAGGGGGCAGTGATGTGCAGTGAGGTTCTTGACAAACAGTGTTTTCAATGTTTTCAATGAAAAGCTTTCAATGTTTTAAATGAAGCAGTGTTGAAATAACTTGTATAACATTTGTATAATATTATACAACATCTCATTATATAACAAAGGCACTGAAACAGAGAGTTTGGAACAGGGCTGTTTTGATAGGAAATGCTTAATCCTGAGGGCATTTTGACCAAAGCATGTTACACACCATTCTTAAGACAGCATGGAACTAATTTAATAAGCAATAAATAATAATGTGAATTATATATGTAATGAAATAATGTGTCATCATTAACAAACAGCGATAGAAATCCTTGTTTTCCCAGTTTGAGACCCTTAAAAATAGCTTGCGACTTATATTCCAGTTCACTTACATTCTGAATGTTATGGTAAATGTTTCAATTAGGGCCTAAATTGAAATTTAAGATTCCACTTTGGGTTCATATACGTGTACATTGTGCCCCATCAGGTAGGAACCTGATAGCATCACTGATTGTCCCATACAGTTACATGCATTTAATCAAAGTACCTCGACATAGGTACAAAGATCACTTTAGCTCAGTCATTTGAAAAGTCTCCAATCTCCAAAGCCAAAAAGTGTGGACCCCTGACCCAAGTCTACCAACAACTTAACTCTCACGTAGTAGAGTGTGGCATTGACTTACTTCATGTCAAAGTCATCTTGTCCAACAGGCTCTCTTCTCTTGTCATTTTTGTTGGCCATGAAGCCATCAGGCAGCCAGAGAACACCATTTTTGTGCTTTCTCTTAGCTACTAACATCCCCACAACAAGGATTAGCAGAACAATAACTGCTGCCACTCCAATCAGGTACATCAGAAATGATGGTTCTGAATGCATAGTTGGCTCACCTGGAGGATACAGAGACAGGTCAGCACATACCTGAAGCTTTGTGGATTTTGTGCATTTACTTTATGTCAAGTTGTCAAGTCTATGTCTGACCAGCAAACTTACTCTTGACCGTCACTAATGGGTACGGCAGCTCAGCTTTGATGTGTGCTGCTGCGATGTAAGACGCAGCCTCATCGGTGTTGGAGAAACAGTCAACAAAGGTTTGGGAACATTCACGGTTGTCAATTAGAAGGTGCACCTCAGAGCTGCATGGAAAGATGTGAAAATGAAAAATAGCAAATAAGTTTGGATTATTTTAAGCTACCCAATAAAGCATTTAAAATTGTGAAAGGGTGAAAATGCAGATAGTATGCCATCAAGAAGCATCCATACCCAATAACCTCCAGCTCCAGCTCCCGCTTATTTCTGCTTTTCTGATTGTACTGTCGCTGATCTTCATCTCCATAGTAGGGGAACAGCATTGGATTATTATTTTTATCTCGCTTTACAAGCAAGTTGGTGTGCAACAGAGCTCCTAAGGCACGCAGGAAACCATTTAAGTCATTGAGCAGCTCCACAGGCTGCAGTCGAACAATGATGACTAGCGTTCCAGGCACTGGTTTGGGTGTAATATCTGTAGAACAGTCCAGGCCGTCCCATCCACAAGCCTCTGTGTGGCAGCTCTGGTCACAAACGCCATTTTGGTAGTGATCAGCACAGTATTCTGGATACCTGTTTCAAGGTACAGGAATAACACAGGTTACAAGAGTTGCCGTAAAACATGTCTTACACATTGTTTGATGCATTAGAAAATGACATACTTGCAGGGAGCGGTTGTGTTGTCCAGACACTCGAAACTGTCAAAGAGACAGCCAGCATTGTCACACTCCTTGTCACATTTTCCATTTTTGAAGCGATCCCAGCACGGAATAGGAGCAGGGCAGTTTACCCAAGGCTGCTGCCAGTTGAGAGAGCAGTCTCCACCATCCCACTGACACTCATGGATGTTACACTGGTCATCACAAACTCTGTCCCCCGCCTGCCGCTCACAGTGTGAAAATGGGCAGGTTGGTGTGCGGTGTATGTTCAGTTTGTTCTCACAGAATCGTCCAGAGAAGAGCATGGGACAACGGCAGCTGTGCTGGTTTGGGTTTGAGGGGTCTTTGATGCAAGTACCTCCATTCTGGCATGGCCTTGGACACGTCTGTATATTTTCACAGCGTAGCCCATAGGATCCGGGCTGACACTGGCAGTATGAGTGACCGGGTGGGGACTCAACACAGCGCCCACCATTCTGGCAATGTATCTTTGAACAGTGTTCTTCTTTTTCTATGTCACAGTTCGTCCCAGTGAATCCCTAAAAAGAAAATATATTATGTAAGTGTTGGAACAATGAAGTCAATTTAAAATACAGCTCGCAAAAAGTTCAAGCATGTTTAATTGGGTCTAAATACAAAACTAAATCTGACCTTCAAATAGAGCATCAAGGGTTTTTCAACTGCTAGTCATAGCATATACTATATACTATACCTGAACTAGACATCTGAGGCAAGCATGAGAATGACAGAAGGAGCAAGATGTTACATGTTAGCACAAAGAGGTGCTAAGTGGAAAATCAAAAACATGTGACCACTTAAAAGATTATTCACAAAAGCTAGTGTTTAAAAGCAAAAGAAATCATACTATTCAATACTATTCAAGTAAGCAAGTAAGCAATTAAGACTGATTAATCAGGCAGTGTTAATGATATTCTTAATAATATTGAAACATCTTGGAAAGAAAATTGCTAAATCACTAGGACAGTGAAGAACCTTACAGAAGCACAGTAGCAGATGTAGCCATGAACTGAGCTCATGTTCATTGAGCAAACACCATTGTTGTGACACGGCCTGGACAGACACAGATCCATCATGGACTCACAATGACGACCTAAACAAACACAGTGAGTACAGAGTTGAAGTACAGGTGGAAAAAAAATTGATTTTTACAACTAGAGTATTTAAAAAACTTTGTTCTGATACCTGTGTATCCATGGCGACAGTGGCACTTGTAGTTGTTAACCAGCTGTTCACAGTCAAGGGTGCCAGGAGCATGGCAAGGCTTGGACTGACATTCATTCAGATCTCCCTCACAGTGTTTCCCAACAAATCCTGCAGGGCAGGAGCACGTGTACTGACCAACACCATCCACACACTGTCCTCCATTACGGCAGCGAGGCTCCCAGGAACCAGGATTAGGCGCACAGTCGTCTTCATTCACCTCACACTGGATCCCTATTGTGGTAATGATAAATAAAAGATATCACTATAGATACATAATACTGGTTTTAGGGTGTGTAATGTAACTACTATATGCTGTGGCTAATCTTACCTTGTGTTCCAGGTGGACAGATGCAGGTAAAACGATTAATGAGGTTGATGCAGGTTCCTCCATTCATGCAGGGTTTAGAGTGACATTCATCCACATCGTACTCACAATTGACTCCCTGGTAACCGGGTTTGCACTACAAAAGTTAAAAAAAAGGTCCAAGATTTTGTTAATACACTGTATAGCAACAGGAAGTTTCTGACAGTTTTGCCCAAATCTGAAAAAAAAAAGAAAGCAAATATTTGTACTTACAACACACTCATATGTGCCCTGATAGTCTTTACATGTGGCTCCATTGCTACATGGATTTGACTTGCACTCATCAACCATCTCCTCACAGTAGCTGCCTGTGTATCCTGGCTGGCACTGACACTGGTGTGAGCTGCCCACATTTATACACCGCCCAGCATTCTTACACACTTTCTCCACCTCTTCATCTGCAGTGATTAGTTAGAGGAAGTTTATCAACAAATGTTCGCTGAACCTTCTTTGGTGATGTGTTTAGAAATGTTCAAAATGTAACCTTTTGAGGCAGCATAGGACTGGCAGGACATACTGGGAACATCGCAGTAAAGTCCTGTCCAATTCAAAGGACAGTGACAGGTCCAGGATGTTGTTGTCTGAGAGCAGACACCCCCATTATGGCAGCGCACCTGGCTGCAAAGGTTTACAATGGGCTGCGTGGAGGGGAGGGAAAAAGGAAAAATATTAGGAAGATATTAGAAAAGTAATCTTGGTTGTGGGGTTTTGGCATTAAATATAGCATTCAAAAATGATATAAATAAACCATGCAGCTTGTTCCAAGCTTTTTTAACCAGAGAAATTTGACACTTGGCGTGGTGTATTTACAACTCAAAACTTCATGTATCAATCAATCAATGTCATATTTCAACCTTAATTCTAAACAGCATAGCCTGCAGTAGTCTAACATATCCTGAAAAAGCGGCTCTGTACACAAAATGTGAGAAAAAAAAACACCAATTACCTGGCAGTTGTGTCCAGTAT